TAGATTTCGAATCCTGGCGTCCTGTATTCAGGCAGAACTTCGGCGTGCTTGTGCCGTACAAGGACGTGTCTGTGCAGATAGAGAAGAAGTTACACTGGTGGTGGCCTAAGACATGGCTGCAGGAGGAGGTAGGTAACATAAACATAGTATGTTTTGTCTGTTTTTGTACACAAATCGGCAAATTAAAATCACGCACACATTTGACTAAACTATGTCACAACAGTTGTGCGATTGTCGTTTGTTTCGCAGCAAATTCAAATGATTTTCACAACTAAAAATCGGTAATATATCTCCATATAAGCTCATAGGAATTAAAGCGGGACTACACGGATTATTCCCAACCGTCACCCCGCTCTGTCCCCAAGTGGGAACAGATGAGAAGTTTCATTCGTTTTACCTTTTGCGACGAGGGGACGGTTGGAACTTATTTCATAAGGGTTCCATCTGTCACATTATTTGTGATACTTTGACTAAAAGGTGGGATGAATGAAATATCACATGGGGACTGAGAAGGGTGACGGTTGGGAATAATCCGACAAAACAGTTATGCGATAGTTTAGTCAAAGGCGCCCGCTTATAACTTTGTAAATAAAAGAAAAAAATGTCCTTATCCGAAGAGGTTCAAATATACAAGAAATAGAGTGGACATTATAAGCATCAGTATCTGCTTTCAGAAGTGTCTTAAACATAATTTTGGCCTTATTGTTTTTGTAATGTCCCGTCTACGAATTTTATATATCTGCCAACCCTTACTACCAAGTAACCGGTGTGATTGTTCATATTTATTCCGTCTTTGTGTTGTATCAGCCAGTTATTGTAACCATCCAGCTCTGGATAAATCTTGTAGATAGAGGTTACAAACTGAATAACTCAAGAAGAGGTCAGTTTTGTCCTGAATAAATAATTCTTATAACAAACAAGTGAACAAAGAAGTAATGTGATGAAACTAATCTATATTTCTATACTAATATTATAAAGAGAAAAAATTTGTGTTTTTTTGGATTTGTGTATGTTTTCGATGCACGTACAAACTACTGGGCCGATTTTAAAAATTCTTGCACCATTAAAAAGCTATGTTATTACAGAGTAACATAGGCTATATTATATTATTTTAATTTGGAAGATTATTTTTTTATTACTTTTTCTATGTACCTAATCTTGTATCTCCGATTGCTACATTGGCGGCCTAATTAGTGCAACGAGATGGAAGTGGCCTTAATAAGAGCACGCACCAAGCTCTTAGATGCATTGATTTGCAGGCATATAACATACTAACTGTTGCCCGTGACTTCGTCCGAGTGAAAATTAAAAAAAAAAGTTAATGTAGCCTATGTTACTCACTGATAAACTTAGCTTATTTTAAATCTGTCGAGTCGTTTTTGAGTTATACCAATACATACCAAAATACAAAAATGCAAATATTTTCTCTATATAACATTAGTATAAATTATGAACTATCTGTTGCCCGGGACTTTGTCCGCACAGTAAAAAAGATACGAAATCAAGAACCTTTTATCTCTGGGGAACGTAACATTTTTCAGGGATGAATCCCACGTGTTACTTAAAACTATAATTACCACATTAACTTCTTGAAAAAAAGATTCTTCACATTAACTGTGACAAAAGTATGAGATTTGTAACGTAACCTTTGTCGAGGACGTTACGAAATTTCTGGCAAATTTTCGTGCTAGACCCCCTGATGTCAATTCCTTGCTATGATAGTTCCGGTACTAAACGTAGCTATTACGATAATTGTTTCTAATTGTTGAGTGGAAACGCGTCCAATGGTAATTGTTTAATTGACTTTTAACCAAACTGTTTTCAGCTTTGTTAATACGTCTCAAGGTTGATTATTGAAACATTCGCAAATTACATCCGATAGCGCAGGTTTTATACTATGTTATCACTAAGCGATACCATTTAAAGACTATGAGTACGACTGTTACAATCCAAAGTCGGTTTCCATTGCGGAAACTTGTAGTTTTTATATTATAAGGTGGCAAACGAGCATGCGGCCACCTGAATCTGCCAAAATGGCAAAGCGACCGCCGCCCATAGACATTCGTAATTGCGGATGCGTTGCCTTGCCTTAACTTTTTTACAGTGGTAGTGCCCGCTTTAACATGTTAGCACTGCAGGCCGGCACGCCCCCAGTAATACCACGATCACACAAGACAGGCGTCAAATGGAAGCAATTCCGTGTTTCGTGTGATGAGTGTGGTGCCGGAGGCCTAATTTTAGTCCCTTTCTCTTTACCACCCTTTTCTCACAAGAAGAGGATGGGAAGAGGAAGTGGATTTGACGGTGGAGGATATGCATAGGAAGGGGAAATATCGCATAATAGGCAACGCATCTGCATTTGCGGATGTCTATGGGCAGCGGTCGCTTCGCCATTTTGGCGGATTGAGGTGGCCGCCTGCTCGTTTGCCACCTTATGTTATAAAAAAAAACCGACGGTGGAGAAGACACAAATAAAGAGGGGGAATGTCCCCTTTCTAAGCGTCTCCTCCACCGTCAAATCTACGTTCCCTTTCCATCCTATTCTAATGAGAGAAAAGGAGTTAGAGCTGGGCCTCCGGCACCACACTCATCAGATCGTACGTACAATTACTTCCAATTGACGCCTGTCTTCTGTGTTGCCGTGGTATTGCTGGGGGCGAGCCGACCCTACAGTGCGAAGATGTTAAAGAAGGCTCTACCGCTGTGTATGTACAATATGTTTTAAAACAATTAGAACATGGAAATTCCAGCAAGAAGCATGCACGACTAATCCTTAACAATAAACAATAATTTATTATTCTGATAAAACGTGAAGTTTTTATATCTATTTGAACTTTACTTAAATAAATAATAGAGATTGTTTGTACAAATTTAGCTTTCCGTATCTTGACATGAGATTTTTACACGTGATTTTATGATATGATATTTTTATAGATATACTAGTTATTGATGTGACTTTTGGATCTTAAACAGACCTAAGTTAAATTCTACAAATATTGTAGCATCCTAGGGATATCCTAGGTCTCTCCCTAGCTCCTAACTCTCCCAAAGAATCTCTTTTCTTTATTTCATTAGTTAAATACAAGCGGACGGTATCATCCACCCCTAAAAGCGACAATGCATTAAAAATGTAGTCATAAAATTCATAAAAAGTCTCCTAGCTTTGTTCTTCTATACTAATATTAAGAGGAAAGATTTTTTTGTATGTATTGAAATAACTTAAAAACTACTGGACCGATTTCTAATTCTTTCATTATTAAAAAGCTACGTTATTAGTTAGTAATATTTCGTACTATTTCTTAATTCCACGGGGACGAAGTCGCGGGCAACAGCTAGTAATACAGCTAAAATCATACGCCTCCGACAGAGATCATAAAACTCATAGACATGTCTTCTATTTCGTTCTTCATCTAATAAAGGTCTTCTCGGTCTTCCAGGCGAAAGACCGCTTTGAGCAAGCGGCGCGTCTTTTCATGCAGAGCACGGTGTCTGTCGCCAAACAGCTGCGGCCGCGTGCTCTGTGGGGATACTACGGCTTTCCTTACTGTTTTAATGTGGCCACTAATAACCCTGGCGAGGCCTGTCCTGCTAACGTCGTAAAGGAGAATAATCAGTAAGTAGAATTTCTTGTTTGTTCCATAGTGAAAATTATATTTTGTTATATTTAACTTCTAACTACTATTGTAAATGCGAATGTTTAGATGGATGGATATTTGTTCGAGTTTGTAGCCTGAACGGCTGAACGGATCTTGGTGTAATTTGGCATAGATGTAGAGGATAGTCTGGAAGAACACATATACTTATTTTAGTTTTTTTAATTCCACCAAGGATGTAGTTGCGGGCGGAAACTAGTAAAGTAATAGCTATATTTCTATATACATATAATAAAATTGGAATGTCTGTTGATATTACAATCAAAGTAAAAACTTTCTGGAAGATGATCTTGCGTTGTTGATAACGAAAACCGCTTTTTAAAATTTATTGTCTGTCTGTCTGTTCTGTTTGTCCGCAAGCCGCGTTCGAACCGGGCAAGCTCCGAAACGGTTTGGTCGATTTTGACGGGACTTTAACTGGAAGATGGTTTGTAGAAAGTAGATACACATATTTTTAAATATAATTAACGTATTTTGCGGAAGACAGCTCGTATCAAATATATTCTCTATGGTTTTACATACTTTTTCACTACAGTCTTACTATCTGTAATCTGTAAGGGTGCATAAACTAGTCTGGCTT